TACTACGCAGGCAGTTTCATAACTGGTGCTACTTAATTTTCGATGTCCGATGCGGGGCAGACCTTTAATACAAAAAAACCAGGTCAGACGCAAGTCAAAATTAGATTTAGTGTTCCATACCATAATTATTTGCTTTTACTGGTACGAAGCCTCGAACCACAAACGGTTTTCATTTTTTCTTTTCGTGTTGTAATCTGTACATTAACCCCCTTTACATAGGCATTGTATTACACGTGATCAGGAGCCTGTTTGATTTTTTTTAAGCTAACGTTCATTCGCGCGCGATTGCTGTATTCGTTTTTGATACAACGGAAGTAGCGTCCGTGTAAAGGCTAATAGCGCAAGATATGTAGATCGCGTGAAACTGGCACGTGTTGGAGTGCGCGATTGCGCGTTAAATTGATAAGCGCACACGCGCGCTCAATCGCCCACGATTGCTGTGATCACGCGCTATAGAGTGTCTATGTAAAACCCGCTAATGTTGTTGATTTGAAATGGAATATCATTTGTGAATTTTATTTTGTTTTATAACTGTACTATGATTATATTCGACCAGATAACCTCCCATATTTTAAGCTAATATATCTCACACAATAGAAATGAAAGATTATATAAATTAAGATTATATATTTTACTCCATCACGCCAATACGGAGCGGGAAGTTACAGAGTAAATTTAAAGCTATAGGTACATTTTATATTATGAAAATGATACGGAACACTAAAATAGCTTTTATATCTCATTTCGTTAACTGAGTTCACAGTTGACTTGCCTATAACCATTACAAAAACCCAATAATAACGTTATAATTGTTTAAGTACGGAAAATAAGAGTTAGGGTTTGAACAGAACGCGATAATACACGATGACGTCACCTAAAGCCTTCATGCCTAGCATAGATAAACATTAAGCAAATACTATGTTTGAGAAAGGTGAAATATCCACTGCACGTTGCAAAGCTACGGTATTTCCGTGAACTAGATTAATATCCTATCTATATTGTGGGACTTAGACTTACAAACACTTGTCTGTTAGGAAGATCTGAAGTCTGTATGGTGAGGCGTGCTACCTACACGCTTGGGCCGACCTAAGTCCATTTAGTTATTTGCGTGATTGTACGGCGAAACACCCGTGTCGAACCCACATGAGTGTGTAGCGCACCTAAGACTTACCTACAAAATAAGCTACATTAACATTTATTAGCAATTTAATAGGTATCCCGAAAGTAGTGTTATAACTACAAGGTTGTATTTGCTCTTTGAATTGTGCCTCTAAATGGAGGTAATTATTATCCTAGCTTTAACTTCTCAGTTATAGGCAGAAGACGCCGTCCCAGGGCGACTGTGTCTTCTGCTTAGATTATGATTTAAACAGCGTACCACTGGGTATGCTGTTTTAATCTAGAATATAAAAAGCTCGTTGCCAACAGTTAGGAACATTCAAGAGTGAAATCAACTGTTATAGTTATATTTACTGAACATTTAAATATTTCACAGTACAGAGTGTAAATTTAAAATATAAATACTACACAAAACTATTGGTTTATGTGGCATAGTTAAAATGACATGAATAACAATAAATGATTTTAATACACATAATATATTTATTATTGACCATTTTGAAATTCAAGTCAATCGACTTGCGATTTTTTTCGCAATGAGCACAACTCTAGCAACGAAAGAGTCAATTTTTCTGTAATATTTTAACTTGCAACAGAAATTACACAAAGTATATGAATAAACTTAATAGTAGACTAATTTCAAGGCAAAATTTTGACCATTAACACTTCTCCTGTTTGACAAAAAATCGGTCAAAAATTCACCAAATCAGACTAACTATTTAAAACATCTGACATCTATTATCAATTAACTGGAACATTTATTTTAAATCATATTAATTACATTTCTTATATGCCTGATATTTACTTAAATAACCATTTTAAATCGCAATACTTAAATCCAATTGTAGATTGCTCAATCATAGAATACTATTTATATTTATCACATAGCTGCAGCGTTCGCAAGTGGATGGGATAATTAAAGTCGACATCTTGTGAGAACTAATATAGTAATAACATGAAGGTTTACGATAAAGACAAGTCAGGTCCGGTCTCTGACGTAGGAGGTTGTAGAGACGCCATCGCTAGTTGCTGCACTCACAGTATATTAAGTACCTATCTACTATTATGAACATTAGGGCTAAACCAAGTACCGCTGTATCAACTATCCGCCGCGGCTGCCGGGCCGTATCGCCCGCCTCTCGGCGCGGATGTAGGACAAACAAAAAATAAATAAAAAAAATAACATAAATACAACAATTAACGTTTATTTCAATCCATAGAACCATATAAATTAAGTCAAACAAAATACTACTCGTACATGTAAAACAATATGGTTTTATGTTGTTGCAATGTATCAGAGATGTTTAAGGCAAAATTGTTTCTTAAATAGACGTTTCGATGAATAAATAAATAACAGATTACTCATTGTAGGGACGTGGCAGAGCGGAAGTGCGGGACGTTGGTGTGGAACTAAACGGGTTTCAGGCGACGGAATTTACGGGGCGACAGGAGATGGTGGAGGGGAGCGTGACAACGATGGGACGGCGAAGCACCGGCCGGCGGCCACGGTTAGCACCACTGCGCGAGCGCCGACGGCTCCGCCTGTTCCGTACCGTAACGTAGGTAGGAAGGCTCACTTTACCACAATGTTCTTATATACGATTCCTTCTTATCACGATACCTTAAATTACATTATTACAATTTTCGGAGAAACAATTTATATTATCGTGTATCATAGGTACCATATACAATGCGTATTTCAATGTATACTTTTTAACAAACAAGATGGAATATCAAAGGCCGCGTGTTAATGCAGCAGATTAACATTAATTTAATTAATACATATAATATCATTTGATATGAAACAGTGCATTTCAAAAGTCAACCGACACACCTTTAAGAATCCCTCACATGTAAACCTTTATAGAAAAAACATTTTATTGTTCTCGCTTTGTATCCATAAAATACTTTCAAATGCAACAACTTCTTAGTCTTAGTTTATAAACATTATTTTTTCTTCAATTCAATAAACATTCAATTGACTCATTTATCAACGACAAAAACCTACAAAAATATATTATAATATTAGCACGAGTCAAATAGAGTGCGGAGGAAACGTCTTGACGACGCAATCAGTGCGTGAGGATGCGACTGCGACGAGGCACGTACGGGCACAACGTGCGCCCGTGACCGTGCACGTGCACGGGTGCGGGCGCGGACGCGGACGCGGGCGCGGGCGCGGGCGCGGGCGTAGGCGCGGGCACGGGTACGGGCACGGGCACGGGCACGGGCACGGGCACGGCACGGGCACGGGCACGCGGCTGCGCCGAGCGTGGGTCGGCGAGCGCGTCTCGCGGCTGTGTGAGGCGCGGGGCGCCGTACCATCTCTTACGCGGGTTCTACCCATGTCGACATAATAACGCGAGTCTCTTTATAACTAAAAAAAATAATATAAACTTTCAAAAACGTTAACAACTACAGCCATAACAAAAATATACTAATGACAACTACGCTACGGAATCTACGTACTACTTAAACTATCCACTAAGTAAATTTTAAACGAAACTAGTTCGCTCACTACGGAAACGACGGAGGGAACGTACGGGGTGTGGAGACGCAGGAGGGCCCCAAATCGCCCCCGTCGGGATCTAATCTCATACGGAGCGTCCTACGAAGCGAGCTAGAGTGAGAGACCTGCGAGCGAGGGCTTGCCCCGGACACGTGTCTGATCGGCGGCTGCGCCTCATGATGTCACGGGAATCGTTCCTGAACAAGGGACGGAGGGCGATTTTATTACATCGGATTAGTTTCAAACGGATTTTGAACAACTTTATGTGTCCGGGGTACGCCTCGGGGCCGGCTCGAGGCCCTATTAAAACTATGTATAATATATACAGACGCAGCCACTACACTTGCGCATGCGTACGCGAGCCACTTGAGCAAACTTGCATGCGGCCGAGGCGGATCGGTCCGCACGGGCCGCACGCGACGGGTGCCGGTATCAATATAAATATTCAACAACAATTAACTTATACAATAATCCGCACTCGGGTCGGAAAGACGCCGCCGCGGGCGCGAATTTCACACGACGCAAGCTCGGGACGAGGACACGACGAACATCGTTCAAAAATAACAACTTTACATAAAATTTTGGTCCGTACGTCGTAGACTAACCCTGTTGAGTGTCGAACTGAGTCCGAAGGAAGGAATTAGAGACGACGATAGATCAGAGTCAAGTGGAACTTTGGTTAAGATTCGCCTATTATAACTAAGTAGATAACTTACGGTAACTGCAACATTCATTAATCCTATGTCAGAAAAGTTTCAGAGTGACTTGTCTACTACACAGGTCATTTAGTCAATTTACCATCATCTTCATTATATAAAACTTAGCGTAGGGTATACCTAAGGACCCACACAAAATTAAATATTGACAGGTAAAAATATTTTTGGTGTGTCGACCTGAGATGGCTTAAGTTGACTGAACACCTGTTCAATAGAGTCAGTGTGAGAAGAGTTAGGGTCAGGACGGGTAATACCAGGAGCACACAGTGCACCACAACGTGGAGATCGTTGCACGGTAACATTTGCCTAAGGTTGTCAGACGCATTGTGTACTGTGACTCCGAAATCTGAGTAGAAGTTAGGAAAACTATCGGTCGAGGACCAATGTCACGGAGAGAAAATAGTTTCAAACAATATAAAGCGTCGCATGTTGATAGAAGAGTGTCTTCGGAACCGGCAGGTGCGAAAAAAGCGCGCGCGCGCCGGCGGTGCGCCCGCGACCTTCAACAAAATAATATCTATTATACACCTAGTCAAATATTATATAAGTTTCCTGTAGTCACAGTCCCTTATGCTCCTTCAGTGTGTGGAACACTCATTGGTTATGTAAGTATATAACAATGTCTGAACGTGGCGTGTACTTACATGTCGTGTGGCGTGTTTGTGCTATGCGAGTGGTGGAGGGTTGCCTATACGTCCGCGTACTTGGACAACTTTTCACGCAGGATGTGATTTTCCTTCTTTAGTAGCTCCACTTCTTGCCGCAACCCCATGTTCTAAAATTATTGACGAATATGTGATTGATCATTGGGTATTACAAAAAATGTTGTAAAGTTTTTATGTCAGTTATACATTTGAGTATCTAACGTAGTAAAAAACAATAATTTTATGATCGCTTTGAAGAAAACTTAGGTAGGTTTAAAAGTGGGAATATGGATACGTAGAGACTGACCTCTTTTTCGAGGTATCCGGCTCGCATGGCGATCTGATTTTCCTTCATGCGTCGCGCATCACGGGACCGCTTGGCCGCCATGTTGTTCTTCCGCCGGCGGGCCCAGTACTTATCGTCTTTCAGGTCATCGGGCACGAACTGCCGACGACGTCGATATGGGGTTAACACGCTGCACCACACACTCATACCACCCTTCACCCACCAAAGCCATCAGCCGTGTTATAGCCGTCCACCGGTCACGAGTACCATGCAAAACGTACTGCCTACTGCCCACCTCGTGTATTACCGTACTTAACAATACTTGATCAAGTGATTATTAATTTTAATTTAGGGTCTTAGTCAGGTGCGCAATTAGATACTAATGAAAAAAAAATCTATTTTTTCTACCTAACTACACTAACAGTATCTGCTATTCACCTCGTGTTTTTGTTTAAACCTTTCAAACATCGCTATTAGTATATGAGAAATTAAAAAAAAATAGATTGCAATAACTATACGCAGCACCCAACAACCGAAGAACTACGCAACATACCAGACATCACTTTAACGGTACTATTAAGCTTGGGTAACAGTGAGTACGCAGTATCTAAGCTGCTACTAATGAGCATTGAAAAGTTGTAAATAACAAGGATGTGTGATTGAAAGACGTGAATTCATTGGTACAGTGACCGATGCAAGCTGTTTATAAGATATTATTTAACATTAAATTTATAAACCTTAAAGAAAAACAACTGTACCATAACATTACCTTATGCAGTATGTCAATTTGATTTAAAGTTTGTTATTTTATTTAAATTTTGCTTGCTACTAAATAAACATAAAAAAGTAATATTGCTTTTTTACAGTCACATTTTAGGTAATGTAGTAGCAAGTTACGAGAAAGAAACAAAAACATCCTCTACTATATGTAAGTGCAGTAAATATTATGGTCGCTTCATTTTTTCACCGATAAGGGTAACTTTCAAGTTAGTTTTCTCTATCTAATTTCGGTGGCAATTTTTATTATTTATTAATACGTATATAAATAATTTAGGATACCACACTATAATAATATACAATACTTCATGATAATATTCTACAACACAAATTACCACCGAAATTAGGTGGAGAAAATTAACTGAAAATTACCCAGAGCAAGAAGTGTTACGGTGTTGCATTGACAAATTATATTAGATCATTGAAGAGTAGATCAGTCAGTTTGAAAATGTGCCCAGAACCCTTCGATTAACCACACTAACGATTTTGCTTTAGTAAACCGACGTTTCCAATTGCCGAATTATTGTTCAGTTTATTGGAATATTTCAAATATTCCATTTTAATTGTACATGTTTTTATGCGTTATCGTTAATGTAGTTAATCAGATGTAGAACATAAGTATGTGTATGTACAACAGAACAAAAACAAAATTTTTCTCAAATAGCATTGAGTGTATCTGTTTTATTTTTTAACAGTAATTATTACTTATAAGATTATATTTATTTAGAAGAAACTTCATGGGTTTCTTACAGGTTGCGCTGACGGCAAAACTAGCCGTGAACCCAATACAAAGATCTGTAACAAGCACATAGAGAGATTTGTAAGATCTGCTGACTCAGTCTAGTTAGTAAGAGCGGTAACCCCGGCTTGGCATCAGACGCTTGTTCGAGTACAGTCAGATCGAAGGAATTTTTCTTTGTGTTGTTCGATCTTTTAAATGAAAATAGTACTACTGATGAAATACGGTGAAAAACAATCATTTTCTTGTAAAAATAGATGTAATTTTCAACGGCGATATCTATGGCATTCATGTAAAAATATGTCTAAAAATAAGTTGATCATTTCCATAACGCTAATATTTAAGGTTAGTTACATTTTGATAAAGCATTAATGAAGCTGTGACGTCATTCACTAAAATGTCAAAACGGATGTGTTTAGTTATGGTATTATTAAAAGAACTGAGCACCACCTCTGTATAATAACGGAAAATAGATGTGTGTAGCGATGATTTTCTTCGAGTGTAACAAAAATGTTCGGCTTTATTATATTATAGCTGACAATAACAAATACTTGTACAAAAAAATCGCGAAAAGAGTAATTGGACCGGTTTCCATACTAAATTGCAGAAAAATAAAAAAGATTTCAAAAATAGACCTTGTGGTTACACTATAGATAGAAAATGTTAGCATGCAATGTAAAGTGTAATGTGGGCGCCCTCTAGGCAATCTATGTAAGTATAATATTAAATATAATTTAAAGTTTTCGACCAGTGCGGACATTTTTTTTTCAGCTTTCGGCTTTGTACTATTTAAATTAAATTTTTACAGTAGACAGAAATGAGACGCCAAGGACTTCAATAAATTACTATGATATATATATAAACAGGTACATGGGTCTAGTCAACATACGTCTCAGGGTGACGGGCACTGTGGCAGTGCCCCTATGATCTTTGCGACTTAAAGTTCTTAATGGCACTGCAACTGTAATGGACAGGGCTATAGCTTACCATCAGGCACACTTGTTCGTTCCGTCACTTGATACTATTAAAAAAAAATATTTTCTCTAATAAATCCAAACAAAACAAAACCACGTCCTTTCTCGTCAAACCTGCTTTTCTTTGTAATTGCGACCAGCGTCAGCGTTCCGTTAATAACCTTATTTATTTCTAATTTCGATAAAACATAATTCTTAATTAAACAAAGTAATTTTCTAAGCAAATAAAATATATTAATGTCACGAATCGCCAATACATATGAAACTTTTTTCTCTGATTCGTCCTATCGTGAATCTAAAGTGCACGGACTTGCATCAGTATGATTGCGTTTTTGGATTTTTCTTTAAAATTACCGCTATACGGATCATTGAGTAAATAAATATGTCTGTCTCTTTGAAAATTAAGTGCAATTTTTTCGGTCCCACTTTTAAAGAATGTTTGTTTCTGATGTTTTATTGAATATATAATCATTTCTTTAGAGTTAATATTTAACTTATAATTCACTAAGATTTCATGCTTGAGTGAAAATAATCAAATTGTATTTCCCTATTGCACATTAAAAGAAGTGTAAGTACGTCGTTGAGCACTGTTGCTTGAAATAATAAAATATTTGGCATAATTTGCGTACCTGTTCATTTACTTCATTAGTTAATTTAGAATTGCTTAAATATTTGTCTACATAACAAACAAATATATGCCTGTTTATTTATATTAGTTGTAAGAGTGCAGTAAACGTATCGAATGTATTTTTGTAGGGTGTGAGTAAGTGTATGAGTGACGCCGCTCCCCGCAGGCAGTAGCAGCATGCCGCTAGGAATGATCAGCGCACTAACTTCATTTACCTGTTTCCGGGACTTCTTGATCATGGGCTGGGGCTTCAGTTCTTCGTCGGAGAAAGCGCGCGTCCGCGGATCAAAGTCGCGCCCCGACGACGCCATCGAAAACGCTGAAACACCACCATTAAGCTAATAAATTTCCAGCATACAACAATGAAACCAAATGATGTGTGCGCATACGTGCATATCTACTTGTGAAATGATCGACATTCAAAACCAATAAAAGTTACAAGAAAGGTGTCAAATTTGCAAACAGCTTACATCAGGAAGCAAACAAGCCTTTTGATTTTTGAAGTTCACGATTGGAGATTCAATCGCTATGTTGTGTTCACTGTGTTGGATACCGATCGAAAACCTTTACAAAGAGCATGTCCAATGGGTGAAGAATGATATAGTTGAAGGAATGTTCTGTGGTGACAAACCAAATATTAATGAACATGAAAATAATGCCAGGCCAGGAGTGTGTGGTGCAACTTACTGGAATCGGCGGGTGAGAGCGGCGGGTTGATGGTGTCTGGGCTCATGCAGTCGGAGGGCGAGGGGGAGCGCTCGCGCTTGGTAACCGGCGCGGGCAGGCCGAGCGCGAGCCCCGCGCCGCCGCCGAACGCCGAACTACTGAGGTGCGCGCCGCCCAAACCCTCGCCCGGCATGCCATTCTCCGACAGGAACTCATCCAGGTCCACGTACTGCAACCGCCAACACCACCAAGTCACACAACGCGCAAGCCAATCAAATAAGCGCCAATTGCAGAACATTTTTATTAATATTATACGCAACGCAATCAAACCACTATAACTTTCGCATGTATGCTAAATTCGCTAGCGTCACATGTAATAATATAATTTAATTTGATCAATAAATTCATATTTGTCAAATAGTTAGTTGATATGAATTTATTTCGCATAGCATGACGTCATGCTTGTTCCCCATAATAAAAATCGAAACCACACGTAAATTGCTGAAGTCAGCAGGAAGCGAAAAGGTGTGGCAGAAGCGACTCTATTACCTAGTGCGGGCGGCAGCGATTAGGAAGCCGGTGAGAGACGCACACAACAACACGCAGTAGGTAATAAAGTTGCGATTACTGACTTCTTGTACCTTGAGATCGGGGTCATAGGGGAGCGTCTTGTCCCAGAGGTTGGGGCCGAGGAAGGCGGCCTGCGCCTCCCACAGTTCGTTGTCATCCTTCTTGTCTTCTAGTGCGTCTTTATTGTTGATCGATTTGCCTGCAACAATGTACAACGAGCCCGTCATTGGCGAGCCGCAGGCTAACGCTCACAACAACTACCAAGCTAGTACTATAATGCTATGCGATGCGGACCACGCCACTATTACGATATAATTGCATACATGTATTGGTTATTCTTTTGAGTATCCCAGTTCTATAATGTATGTCGTTATAGGAAACAGTGAAACGGTTCCGGATCGCGTGACTGCCGTCAAATCCGCAAACAAAAACGGAGCGCAAGTGTTATAAAATCAGCTGGCTTAGTTGTTGTCAGTATTGTCCTGAGACAGGTTTGTGAAGTAATAAAACTTTTATTATTATTCTTTCCTTATTCCATACTATTATTATTACATAACACAGCGCAATCGCACAGCGTAGCACAAACTCATATAATATGAAAATAGAGAAGCGCGGTCGCAAGAGCAGTGTTGTTTAAAAATAATAGAAAAGTAGAAAAAGAACGTTTATAAAATAATTTTCCATTATATTACAGTGCTTTATTTTAAATGTACTTGTTATTGGGCGTTGAATCAAATAAATGTATCGGTAGAATTTAAAATAAAGTTAATGATGGCACTTTGTAGGCCACTTATTGTGTTAAATAAAATTCTTAAACACATATAAGTTACGGACAAATTATTATAGGGTAATTGAGACTGTTTCAAATAAACCGATTTCAATTCTTAGATGCTTTACATAATATTTCCTTTCTTGTCGTACATAACAAATGCATTTACATTTTTGTGAATTTCGGGATATTGGCGCCTAAAGATATTTTTTACTTTGAAAAAATGTCATTTACATTGATCTGAAACTAAATAAGATAAAAAATATGTTAATAACTCAATGTCGCTAAAAATGTTGATTACGCCAATTTGATAAGGAGAGCAGAATTGTCTTTCTACAGTAGTTGGTAAAGCACGGGTTTAGAATTTACAAATTTTCATTCGTTTTCACACAAGCTTTCATTCGTGCATAGAAAATGGCCTATTCATGTCTACCTAAAGTATTTTCCCAAAGACAATAGAACTTATAATTGTTGTACACATTTTGCACGTTCCGGAAAGCAATCGGAATCACGTGAAATTTAGATTATAAATTGCTTACGTTGAAGAAAATATTGTGAAGAGACCTATAACATTGAAGAAGTGCCAAATCCTATCGAAGAACCCGCATCAGTGCCTCCACCATGAGATTACAGTGACAGTTATCCCTAGCGACCGTGTAAAATGTTTGTATACAAAGTGTTGTTTCTTCTTGTGAACTATAGGGGCGCTATGTAATTTGTCATACAAAATTGTGAAGTAATTTACGCGGTCGCTAGCGACAACTGTCAGAGTAAACTCGTGATAGAAGCACTCTGTCTCTCTGTGATTGCTGTAGTCTATTTTGCGCCTCTATAAACATTTATTGAAAAAAAAAACACGTGTTACGAGAAACATCGTTTCAAGAGCAGTGATTGTGCAATTGTAATGAATAACAAATGTTGTATAATGAAAAGTAAGGGTTGTCACGTTGTCGGTTAGAGTGGAGGTGGCGCGGTCTCAAGGGAGGGCACATTCCGCTTCACGTGACGTGCCCAGACAAATTGCAACGTGACAATTAAACAACTAATTATAGATCTACAACCTACAATGTATTAAGCAACTTTAGATTATAGTTAGGGTCCTATTTCATTGCACGCAGTATATAGAATCTAGTACATCTAAAAAGTCTATTTATGGAGATTATTTGACGCAATTACGAGTCTTTTCAATTGTTGTATAAACATGAAGAATTGTATAAACATCATTGTAATATGAACAGGGGTCTGGTAGTGCTTGCCTGGAAGCACCCTAACACGAGTTGCTTCATGAAATTAACTACTTTTAAAATTTTTAGTCATATTAAAAACATCCATTTACTAAAAGTTTTACTGAGATCTTTTTATATCAAAAATTGTACTTAACTATACTATAAACTATATTGGCGTAGGGGTATATAAATCTTAATACGTTTGGGTTGTGTTGTGTATTTGTCGTCATAAAATTGAGTATATTATATTGTGTGTTCTATTTACTATTCATAGTATTTATGTAACAATAAATTGAAAAGTTTCTTCAAATGTCAATAAAAACCATATGAATACTACAAGTAAACAATGCCATCAAGTTTTTCCGTGTTAACGACGCCAAGGCAAGCAGCTTCATATAGCGTGAGTCGTTGAGCTATGGGGTATATCTTATTTCATTACAAACAATTTTACAAATATATACATAAATAAAAGGACACCTTGCCGAAACTTACAAATTACAGAAAAAATAGCTCTTAACCCAAATGTGTCCAGTTTTCATTATCTCTATTTGTAGGATATAAAAGATAATTATAACCGGACACATTTGCATAAATTCGACACTCAATTTTAATATACTAAATTATAACATTGCTAAATAAGGAAATAAGTGAACAGCTTATTTTTAAGGTTGTTTTGTAGTTACATTCAGAGCACTATTATAACAGCAAATAGTTATCTGATAATGAAAATCATACGTAACATGTATCATAGGAATCTAATGACACAATAACATGGGAGCAACACGCTATTGATCGAGCGGAGCGCGAAAGCTAGCTTCCTCATTAAAAACCGGCTCGGGAGGAGAGGGGCTGCAGGAAGCGGGAAGTAACCCACTTGTCAGAGTTACGTGCGCGCTACGCTTTCCTCGCCGCCGTTCCGCCCGTGCGCGCGGGCACGCACACTGACTGTGCCTGAGCAAACGCCCTACACCCCTCTTATATATTAGACAAAATGGAAAATGTTTAACTATGTTACAATACGTTTGATATAATATCGACTCTTCGGGACGCGAAAACATTTGATCATCTTTTGTGGGCAACATTATTAGATAAATATAATAAACAAATTTAAAATCTTTCATAATATATGAACAAATTTATTGTCGAGTTAATGTACCAAGCGGACAAGCGATCGAATGCTAAGAACAACAAAGACCAGTTAGAAGCTCTTCCGCAGGCCGGTCCGCTTCGCTCGCTACGACCGCTCTCACTTTCATTGGACTCGCCGGAGAAAGTCTGTGGCGCGGGCGCACTGGTGACGACATTACAACACTATGCACAATCGATTACCATTACATCTTGGTTATATATAATAGTAATATAACCACCTACCGACAATTCTAATATGACAAAATATGTTCCATTGCAAAAACGTATATGCTAGAATGTACAGCAACTCATACTGTATGTATAGTCGTACAACAATTAAACAAAAAAGTGATTGAAAATGAATCCTTTTGAGTAATATGGATTTTATTGTTTTGAGATTAATAGTCTTAATTTCAAAACTTATAACATAAAACAAATATTCTAGGATCTCACACTATTCATATTGCATAAGCATAAAACGTTCTCACAGATGCACTTTACTCATGTTCAGCATTTAAATATTTCAAAAAAGGTACTTTAGACGCGGCGTCGCAAAAATATATTTGGCTCCCTGACCTACACGTAGCAGAGAAAGTGCCTGAATCACACGGCCAGTTCCGCAGCGCGCTGATGTGACGGCGACCACTCTCACTTTCTTTAACGGCTGGCTAGAAAGTGACGCCTCCCGAATTACTCTCAGTGCTAATCTTCCATATGTAATTACAATGGACACATTATTAACCAGCTACAAGAATTCAACAGCATATTTTGCATTACAATTGTTACTTAACGACCTTAGTCGTAAATACTCTCCGCTAAGTTATTAGAATTAAGTTTTGAGACTTGCATTTTTTTTTCGTGGATTCACATGGCTTCCATATTCCACCAAGATAGATACACCTTTGTAAATTGTATTTTACTTATGTGGCATAAGTGTAAGGTGGTGTCGCGATTGGAATGCTGCGCCTGCGCCGGTGGAAAGCTGTATTGCGCAACAACTCCGCTTCCTACTTGGAAAATATAGGTGAGGAGTGTCGATTGGCAGGCGCCGAGGGGCAGGGACGGCGCGCGGATGGCAGGGAGTGGGAAGTAGCTGCTTCTGTTGCGTAATGGAGAAAGTCAACGTTTTCCGACGACGCGCGATCATTTTCGTAAACGTGTGAATTGAGCGAAAGTGAACGAGAAAGTAGTAACCGAATGGCGCCTTCGTTACATATAAGTTCTTAATAGGTCCTGTTCATGACCCATTTCCTTGGTTTTATTACTTCTCGTGACGAGGCTACTTTTGACATTCAAGGCACAATGAACATGTTTCTGAGTCTGCACCAAATGTTTAAACTCTCTTATATCTCCCTTTTACGTAGACGTTTGAATGTCTTCTTTACTATGTTTAATATGGGGAACCGAAGTATATAAAAACAAGAATGCAAACAAGAAATGAAAATATCGTCTGACGTTTAACCAATGTGTTCGCATTAAATATCTGCAATCACGCGAGACGCTGGCGCCGGTGCCGAGGCACTGCTGGCCTAAAGAAAACATTTGTTTTTCCTGTAGTCCAACATTCATATTGCCAACGTTTTCGTCGATATTTATCTGTTGTTGTACTCATTTTGTGCACAATAAGTATTCTAAGTTGGTATACGATACATCGACATTTTTACAGTTCCCAAATCATGTAAAAACATAATTTATAGCGGCTACTGTACCTAACACAAATATACTTACCTAAATAATACTCGTACAGCAGAATTAATGGACAATTGTAGACAACTGTTAAGGGACAATGGCGTGACAGATTAGGATGTAAAATTGAAATAAGTCTAACCAGTGGTAGTCATAAGTCGATAATCTTATTTATTTTATAACGGAAGCAGCAATTGCATCAACAACTGCATTGTAGAGTATCTTTTGGTTTTCAGGCTGTGTCAACGCCAGATAACCGAAATATTCCAAAATAATATTTAATGAAATATTATCATTGTTACTTACAGTGGCATTTTCTAGCTAAATTCCAGATCATTAAGACACCAGTCTTTTGACCATAATTATGTTTAGCGTTTCCATATATTATTG